TTCAATCAAAACAGTTCACAAAACAAATTGCTTAGACACTAAAATAAAGGTGAGAAATATACCCACGTAAGAAACTACATCTTGTCTACCTCGACATAGTCCTGTAATTTCACTGCTACTTTAACATACCATACCGGAAAACAACTTGGAATCATATGACGATGTACTTTAAATTGATATTACAATAAACATATACTCAATTTGGCAAGTACATTTATTTTAATGGAGTGAATAACAGATTTGTTCGTACCATGATTATATCACAACGTGCACGTAACATTATTACTACGTATCAAATTTAAGATGATTACATAAGACTACATCATTGTATACTTAATCTGACGCTTCCTTACAAGTAATACGATATTAAATAGATTAACAATAAGTTTGCACAATCTGAAGAAACAGGATCGCGTAGGAACTGTACGAGAAGCATTACGTCATCTGAGCGTAAGTAGGTACACAAAATCCCCAACACGGATGTATATAAGTAATCTATACTTGGGATGATAGATAATCTGTAATATTAGCATTACCAAATTAATACCCTAAAAAATAGTATGTGTGAAATAAAGAAAACATAGTAGCAAGTATAAATTCACTCAAAATTATGCCATCAGGCAACAACTAGTATAATTTTGTGTGAAGGCTAGATTTAATACCAAAAATAGCAAACAAATTTGATAATTTGTAGCCTAATTTCCGTTCCAGTGATACATTTATTAAAGTATATTAATGCCGCTTAGTAACAAAAAATAAGAGATAGACAATAATTCGCATTTATAATAATAGTATGCTCTGTATATTTTCATTCCAAATCAGGATTACGTTTTAGTAATTATTATGTATGTATGTATCTTAAAAGATTCAATTCGTTCAAACCAATTGAAAAGACTACTAGTAGTCCTTTGGGACATTTGCGTGTATAAATAATGACTGCGTCAAATTTCAAACAGTATGTAATTATAAGAAATTTATGAAAGAATTCTACTAAGCCAGTTGAACAAATGTCTAATTACCCGTCCTGTAATAAAGTAAGTTTCCATTCAAGTACCTGTTATACAGGTTGCAATTTGCTACTTTTGCATAAATATCTTTTAACACCTAAACTTTCTGCGCTGCTCTTTAATCATGAATAAATCGCAAGAAACATTTCTGAGGAACTTTTTCTGAATGTAGTTTTAATCACTAACTTTTGTGAACGATATTTAAACTAAAAAAGATGCGAAACATTCTTCATGGAAGTAGTGCTTAAGTAGAAAATATTTTAACGTAAGGTCCACTGAAACTTATTTTTTAATACAAAAGCGAAGGATTTTAAATAATAATAACCCTGGACAATTCACACAGCGTCGTGTCGTCCCAAGCTAAGCAGAGCAGTGATATGGGTACTAGACGACTGTTTTTATACATAGATTTTTTTTGTAAATACATACATAATTTACATAAAATACTAGACCAATACAAAAAATCATATTCATGAATACAAATGTTTGTGCCGCGCGAGGAATCGGACCCGCGACCACAGGAAAAGCGGTGTGCTAAACTAAACCGCTAGATCGTCGAGGCCGTCAAATTAATTACACTTATTGTCATCAGGTGTGTGATTGAGTTAGAGCAAGATTCGTTAACAAGTTGTCTTAATCGTGTAAAACAAGATAACGTTTGTATGAAAGAAAACTTTTGGTCAAATATTTGGTTTAAAAAAAAAATTAAATGACAGCTCTTGTGTGAACTTTGTTCATTTAAAACATTATATATATATTTCACATTATTATATTTCTTTGTTAGTTATACCCATGCGAAGTTGAGGCAGAATGCTAGTTGTTATAATACATCAATTGTTATGTAACCAGTTACATTTTGAATTCAATCGTAATAGGCCAAGGGCTTGTAACGCGTCGCTATACGTGCTTCCTGCAATTATCCTATGCAGAAAATCAATGTTTTTCTCCCTTAATTAACCATCCATTGATTTTCTGTCTGTGTGCACAGAAATAACATAACTATCGACCCACATCGACTTAACTCTACGACAGGTCGTATTACAAGAAAATCGATTTAGTTAGTAAAATAATAAAATACTAGCTGACCCGGGTAACTTCATCATCATCACACTTGACATTTATCATTACATTTCGCAGAATTTAGATACTAACTTTTTAAAATATAGCCTATATGTTATTCTGATGCTATATTACTGTAGAGTTTCATCAAAATCCGATCAGTACTTTTTGCGTGAAAGAGTAACATCGGATGGATGTTACTCTTCTATGTATCAGTCCATACTTACAAACTTTCGCGTTTGTAATATTAATAAGATTACTTTTCTAATTGCACATATCGAATCCGAGCTGAAAATATATTACATTACAGTGTATCAGTATACCAATACTATATATCCCTATAAATATGGCTATATATATACTATTATAAATAAACAGAACTTTTATGTGAAATATTAAATTTTCAACTCTATTGTAACGCCCTAGAGTTGTAATTGCAAATCGTTAGTTAACAATTATAATGCCATGTGTCCGTATGTAAATATTAATGATGTTTAACATATAGGGCGTCCTACATATTCAAATAAGTACTTATAATGAATGTAGTGCTAGATGTGTTATTAGAATAACTTATAATATTACTCTACTAAAACCATACTTTGCTTTTATCTAATTTTGCTATCACGACAGCAAATTTAGGACTAATATTCGGAGACATGATACCCCAGTTCTCCAGAATGTATAAATACCATTGCTGGAAGGTTTTTAATTTTAATGGATGATAAAGGACCACCAATCCAGATACCATCACATTGGTTCTTAAGCCGTGGAGGTTTATGCTACCTGTATATTTTTTTCCCCATTACTATCTTTCATTAAACGAAAGAGAATTAATTATGTCCTAACGAAAAAAATCTTGCATCTCATTTACATTTCAAAATGGAAATGATGGTTAGATCTTCTTAAGTCCGCCTTTTTTCTTCTCTATTAGTACTTCCAAGATTCCTAATATTGCTATTTTTCTTAACACCAGGGGACGTGCTTGTGCCGATGTTTTGAGAAGCAATAAGCTCTTTTCTTGAAGGGTTTCAATATAGTACCGGTTCGGAAATACCATTGCTGGAAGGTTATTCCATAATATGGTTGAGCGTGGCAAACAGTTTCCGGAAAAATGCACGGTGGAGGACCACCATTCATCCAGATGAGTTCCATCACATTGGTTCTTAAGGATGACCGTGGAGGTTTACTGTGGGTCTACCTGATAGATGACAGCATAAAAATTCTGTGATCATATATAAGTCCCCATCAATAAAAATACTAACTATCCCTTGTTTTATTAAACGAACAAAATATAATCAAATCAAATTATTATGTCGAAAATCAATAACCATATTGCGTCTGAAAAAAACTCTTGACAGTGTTGTATAACTTTCAAAATGATGAAATGATGGTCAGTGAGATCTCCTTAAGTCAGGACAGACAACTTTTTTCTTCTCTAATTAGGACTACTTCCAAGATTCCTAATATTGCTATTTTTCTTTATAGCCATACTAGAGCCGCAATAATGATAATTAGGGTACCGGAAATTACCCAAGTAATGTAAATAAATGGAATAAAAGTAAACGTTCATTCCAAGGAAATCAAATGACAATAATATTATAGCGTTTTCGTCTTCTGCCTGATTTTCAGAGATGAGACCTTTATAAATAATAGGATTTGTAATATTTGGTAATAACTTCTGATTGTTTAAGAGACTCTTCACGCACTGCCTATCCTGATGGAAGTATAACTATGTACGATTAGAGTTTCTTAAAGAATTACCTAATCTACAGCCATCAGAAGGTGGTTTTGTGAAGTCCATGATTGAAAATAAACATTAAGTATTAAATTGTTTTTAATACGTAGTGGTGTTACTTAAATGATTAGTTTTCTTAATTCGAGAGAAGTTCAGTGTCGGGCATTAGTGCTTTTACCTTAAATAATTCAAATAGAGTAAAAAAATGACAACTTGCTTTAATAAAGAAAATAATATACTTACTTACTATTTAAATGTTTTTTTTAACATTACAAATCGAAAAATCGTAGTTTTTAATGCTAAATCTGTACATTTTGTATATTATTTTACATATCTCTGCTGATTTGTCCACATATACATAGGTACGTATTAATGTCATTCTTACTATATCGTACATAATCAAAGAATAGATCCTTGTCGCAACATGAAGATGATTTCAGGTGCATTCCTTGCCATCTAAATTCTGATTGATTGATTGGCTCTGGTAATTGACATTCGTTAACTTCGGATAAAACTAAACCTTGATACAGTGAACAGCAAGGTTCAGTTTGCCTCAATTTTCACCTACGTGACAGGGTGAGTAAAGGCTTACCATGAGGTTCTTAATAAGATTTTCTTGTTTACATCTGGCATCATTGGTGTTATGATTGAGACCTTAAAAATAGGGCTTTTTGTCCAACCTGATCTAAACCAGCGTCTCTTTGGAAAAAATCTTTGGTCCAATCCAGAACCTCATATAAATATTATAATATCCAAAGCAACGCTCCTTATCAATGGGCGACGGAAGTCGTCATAGTTGACGGTTCAAAGCCGAGCCGACTGGACAATAATATGTTTATAACTTCAAACCGTCAATAACAGGATAAAACTTTTGTTAACATGTTTGTTAAAGGAATTGTTTCATCTAGGTATATTATTATAATATTATATGGTACATTTGTTATTTACATTATAGCGCTCATTGAATGTGATTTCTGATCATTCCTACTATAGGACAAATACCAGCTGTTTATCGACACCTACAGAAGCCAAATGTCATATTTATCATTATTTTTCCTGTTGAACTAATAAACTTTATAATTGTGTATTATTCATAGAAATTAATTAAAATATGAACTTAACTACCTCAATTTATACACAAAGTAGGTAGAGGATTCAACAGTGGAACGCATTTAAAAAATTTATTCATGAATACTCACCTCTGAGTCGGTGAGCGATCGATATTCCACGTGTTGACAACCACACCTCGGTTGTTGGTGTAGTTAAATAAGAAATAAAACAACAAAACCAATAAACATAACACTACGATACGTCTCCACGTTACTGGACAGTCTAAACCGTCACCAAACAACAAATTACACTCAGTGTCAATGCGTAATACACAGAAAAATTTACATCCAACCGGCGTTTACGTTTTCCCGGCTAAAATAAAGGAACTAAAGAGAAATAATAAAGGGAAAAATAAAGAATAGGAAGGGGTCAACAATGTATTCTTGTTGAAAGATGTTGAAATTGTTGTTTCTATGCTGTAAACACAAATGAGGCGTTAAAATATCGGAATACAATGCAGCGTATTGTTATTTTTCGTACAGCCAGAGAGCGATACGACATCCGTCTCGATAGCGCGGCCAATACTGACAGATGTACTGCAAAAAGCGTTATATCCGACCAAGTAGCGTTGCCCTACAGTCGACGGGCGCTAAGCGGAAAACGCAACTGGAAAATTACGTTTGTCTCCCTCAGACTTACTGCTATCATTGAACAGACGCAGGCTTTCCTTTTTCCTTCACGGTAGTAATCCTCAATGCGGTTTTTGGGTGAACTAAACTGAGTCATCCACTACTGCTTGTATTCCCTGTACATCCCAATAACTGACTGTTTACATAGGTACATAATAATAATAATATCTACAAAGCCCTAAAGCCTAAATCTTCAATGTTTGGTTACTACTAAGTATGTAATATTATGTTATCTGCGATACTGAGTCACATACATATGTTTCTAAAAAATTCAGAAGCTTATATACTTATTACCTAAATGCATATTTCTAAAATCCTTCAGATGCTTGTATAAATCAGATAAAAATATACTTAGAAAACCTGCCAATTATTGGATGAGAATTATGAGTATACATGAGTATTTTGACTCTAGGAACTGTTAATAAAGTGATCAAAACAATTTTCAATAAATAAGATATTTATTCATCAACTAAACAATAGTTAAACACACAGATGTTATTTTTACTTATATTGTAAACTCTCTACATAACTTTATGATTGATAATATTTCATCTAAAATATTAAATTATTGAGAAGAGATTTAATTTTATATAATTGAAATTACATACAAACTACGATTCACTTGATGGTAAGTGGCAATTGACTGATGTGTACCTACTTGAACAGTTCTTCGAACATCATACTTGTGGACCACAGGCGCATTGATATTCCGGAGGTCTATGTGGTATCATACTTCCATACATATAAGATATAATATGCATTTTACTACCCTCCATCCTAAAGTTACCTGAAATAGATAGATATGAATATAGAAGAGTCTTTCATTTATTCGATAGATTAGTATTCAATTTTACTCCAGAATTACTTACGCCTGAAAATATCGTTTAGCAATATCTACCATTTCACTATCATTGCTACGTTACTCACGTTAGCCGGTTATATATTAAGTACACTTCATACAAAGATATCATTATATATGTATAATCATTTTAATTTAAATGAGATAAGAAATTAGTAATCTAATCTAGTCAATTTATTTTCATCTATTACTAGATATATAATGTTGAATGAATTCGATTGAGATCTAATACAAATTTCCGCTTCATGAAATCGCCGTAGAAGCCTAAGAATTTATAAATCCAAACCTATGAAAAATTTTATTAAAAAAAATAAACAAACGGTAATAAAAAAAAGTTGAATAAGTAATGAATATTAAAACTATAATAACATGTCAAAATTTACATCTAATAATTTATACATAACAAGCATGTTATACAAGTGCTTGCAAAGTCACATAATTTTCTTCTTATTAACTTTAAATATTGTTTTTTTTATAATGATATGTTCATTACCTTTTGATCATTTAATAGTAAAATATAAAATGTACACACTTGCTACTAAATCTAATCAGGCGCTGGGCTACTACGCTGCTGCGCTACCGCGATTGGTTTGCTGTGCAATATATATATATATAATTATCTATAACATTGTTATATATACAATTTGAAATTTAAATTAATTGTTACCGTATATAATAAACATATAATTATTTATAACATTAGAATATTCCATATAGTCAACATGATCAATTTGCCATAGATTCGTTCTTAGATTTGCGGCGAGACATTGCATCTCAGTCCATTTTTTCGAATTTTACCAGCGCTCTAGCGGTCAGAAACCAAAATACTATCCTGATCATCCGCATAAATGACGATCCTCTGCCGTGCTGTTTTCCAGAAAGTTTTTTCTACACACAACCGCATTATGGAATCACCTTCCAGTAATGGTATTTCCGAACTGATACAATATTGATCGATAGTACCGATAACGCATTGTCTGGTATCGCGGGTGCTCATAGACGGAGGTAACCTTACCATTAGGTGAGCCACAAGTTATTCCTAAAAAATGCGTCTTTTTATTATTATTTTTAATTTCATGTTTGGAACACTATAATTATATAAAATAGAGGCTCTTTATTACCTAAATCTGGGGCAGCTGTGTAGGTACATTATCCCTTGATAACTTAATCAAACTGCTCTAAAATAATTGAAGCGGTAAATATGGTAGTTAAAACGTAGTCATGCTGACGTGTGGGGTGACGGTACGTGATCGAAAACTGCGGTCGACTGGCAAATTGTGACCATGATAACGGAAAGCTGTTTACGTTATGTACTTATGCCTATTAATACTCTGTGCATGTGGACAGTAAATTGATTATATTGTTTTCGTTCTTATGACAAACAGATTAAAATTGAAGTTAACAGTTTCATTAGTCGTCTATTTTCACCTATTTTAGCTGGCAAATAGGTTGCTTTGTAAACAGTATTTCGGTTCTAGAATGCGATTCTCCTAAATTGAAACTGTATACTGATCTGAATGTTAGGGAAAAAATATTATTTATAAAAATATGTGACGTTCATAAGTGACTAAACCGTCCTACATGAATAAATGATTTTTTAATTTGAATTGAATCAGGCAGTGAAATTACTGAATAAATTGTGTCGTATAAGGGCTCTCAAGGGTACAAAGGCGACGTTTACCGCGTACTACCAGGTTAGCCGTGGTATCAGCTTGTTTGCGATTCTAATTACATAAAAAATGCATAAACAATTATGTTGCACAAATGGTATTGGATAATTCGCATCTGTCAAATTGTATTTAAAATATGAAAATTTAAGGTAACGTAATTTTCTACATGCAGACTATGTATATTATCTTTAAACTGTATGTGAGGTAGACTTTGTTTAAAGTAGTCTGCTTGGATCCTTATTTGCCTCACTAATTTCTGACAAGAAAGATATTTTTTAAGCTGGAGTCCAAGAAGAGAGTTAAAAGGAATTTCAGGGTATGTAAGCATGACATCTTAGTCCTCAGAAATAGCAACTACGACTAACTAGAATACTACAGACGACATCTAACGACATGTGGTGCTGTTAATGTATATTAACGACAATTACAACATTTCGTCTGATGGGCCGTCAACTTGTTTTAAATTCTACATACATGAAAAAATGCATTTATATTCGACATCATTAGAAATATTAATATGTAAAGTAAATACTGTATCCCTTTTTATGAAAATTGCCCGGACGGAGGAATATGAAAGTTTCGCACACTATAGTTTATATTAAGGAGTACAGAATTGCAATATTTTTTTCATTATGCATAAAACATTAACACAATAAAAAAAACATTACACACACTACCATTACTCTTAAGTATATAAATATTCTCTTTTGTTTCTTTGTTATTGCTTGCAGAAAGATGTTTTTTTTGTTTTTTATTGTGGTCGAATTTCACCATGGTGCGACCACTAGCATAAATAATGATGTATGATAATTTCAATATTTATTCGAACGAGGAGAGAAAGAAGGAATATTTTCATCTGAATATATATATTAATATATTCAAATGTATATATATTATATAATAATTTCTACTAACTAAACCATATATTGGGTTTGTGTCAGACAAATTGGACGATAGACCGCGACGCGTCGCCACCGACGCAGGCTCTGCGGATATTGTACCCTCACCTGGAGATTAAATGTTTAGCACACATCGATCCCCCGTCCAATTCAAACGAGAATCGAAATTACGACGTCCTGAGCCAAGGTTGGAACCTTTCGCGATGCCCTCAGACTAAAGTCGTATTCGGCATGTAGGAGTTGGTCTTCAGCCGCTTCATAAGTCCTTCCGCGAGTTTGGTGTGCCGTTTGGACTTGCCCCCTATAGTCCGATGACGCTGTAAAGGCCAGCTGCGGTCTAAGAAAAACGCGTACTCCGAAAAATTTATGACTAGTTAACTATATAAATGAAAATAGTATTTAATAAAAATTTCACATCAATACATTATTTTAACAGTATACTGCGATTTAAGTGTGTGTGGGATAAATTGGACCATCACTGTAAATATTGTACTGCTGACTCGCTGACCAGAACTTCATCTGCATCACATTTACTTGACATTTACTACTATAGTTCGCCTAATTTACACAATATCTTTTTAAATTACAGCTTATGTGTTATTCTGGTGTATAAGCCATATTGCTGTAAAGTTTCATCAAAAGCAGTTCAGTTTTTTTTGCGTGAAAGAGTCATCCATCCATCCATACTTACAAACTTTTGCGTTTACAATATTGTATATATATATATATATATTTAAAGTGAGAGTAGTAAGATTTGTTTTCCTCCAAATATTTATATACACAAGAATAAGAATTACAAATAATTTAGTTGTAGTTTCTATTTAAATAATTTTTGCCTAAAAAGTAAATTGTAACCTCAAATTGGTGCTATTCGTATATGAGTTAAATGGGCGGCGAGCTTTGCGGCGGGGTATCGACGCCGATGCAATTTGCGGTTCACAAAACCGACATGCGGATGTCCTAATAATATATAGGTGTATTTGAAGTACTCTGTAAATTTTTTTCAATTAAATTCTATGGACTTTCACTCGATTCAAATACATAAATCCAGTGAAAGTGAGCATATGAAGTATTATGATCAGCACACCATAGATAGACAATGCCTGATGAGGAAGGAAACAATCCCCTTAGTAGTGACACGATGTGCTAACTGTCCTGACTTCTTCGTAATTCTATCATCTTCTACTTGTGCCCCGCCCACATATGTATATGGTTAGCGAAAATGTACCATTTTATATATTTATTCAGTAATAGTTGTAAATGCATCTGAGTACCCCAGTCAGAGTTTGTAACTACAGATAGCGCTGTATATAATAATAACAGTTATGGGTTAACTGTCGTGAAGGTATATTATGATTTTTGTGTTTCTTAATTATTATTATTATATACAGCGCTATCTGTAGTTACAAACTCTGACATTGTAAATAGCAAATATTGTAAACATT